TTACTCCCAGTAGCCCGAAATCATGACAATGACTGAAACATCCGGCAGAAACACTGGAATGGATCTCCTGAGGTATCAGCACATGCAAGAAATCAGGCATTTTCTGAATTCGAACTCTGAAATCAGAATTTCTGCTGTTTTTCGGCTGAATATTGTATTCAGTCTGTACTTTAAGAGAATAAATCCCAAGAAATCCATCCACAGCTGGCTGAGAGCCTCCAACAAATGGTGAGAGCTTCATTTACACTCTTTCCCGAGGACAATGTTTCTTGCTCTCCATGGAGAGAGAGATCTCCCCACACACCTGCGCAAGCTGCGTTTCCAGTCACAAGACAGAGCACAGAGCAGCTCTGGAGGCTGTCCGAGAGAGAGAGTAAGCGGTCGGAGGAAAAAAAGGGGAGGAAGAGAAGAAAAGAGAGGGAGGGGGAGTGCTAGTGGTGGATTCAGGGCGTGAGAGCACCGCTATGCAAATGTTCAGCCAAAACACAGCAAACACTGCATAGATGGAGACACTGGGATGTGTGCTTTGCTGTTTTCTGTAGGCTATATTCCCATCCCTCTGCTGTAAAAAAAAATCATATTAAAACCATAAATATCTCACTTTCCTCTGGCACTTCCAATTAAAGCCATTTTATCTCTCTGAGTCTTGATTTGCTCTGTCTTCCAGAAAATAGACCAAGCATTTTCTTTGGAGACACTTCTTGCTCGCTCCAACTTGAAAGAGACTTTGTGCCATACGTCAACTGTCTCTCCAGATGCTCCATCTGCTGCCCAACACCAGGTGACGTCAGTAGCAGCGAGCACACTGCATCTGCACTGCACATAAAGAGCCGTCTGTGCAGGCGAAGCAGTCATGCAGACTTGGCCCTCGAGTGTCGTCCTTTGGGAGGAAGTTGCTCAATCAGCCACCAGGAAAAAGAAGCACACACAAAGAAAAGGGCTGATAAATGTGTGTTTGTGTGCAAGCATGTCACCCTTTGAAGATGTGACCGCTGCTGATGAAAGCAAAGCTCACAGTTGCAGTTACTATGTATTAGGGCTGGGTAAAAAAATATTGATATCTCGATATTAATCGATTCTCATTTTTACGGAACAATATCGATTCTTAAATCCCAAGAATCGATAAGTCTAGCCTGTTTTCAGTTAATTGCTGGTTAATTGCTAAAGGAACATTGAAGGGCACTTGCGATATATTGGATGGGAATAAGCATTGTGCTTAGGTACTTTTAATATGAAACAAAGTCTCAGATTTCAAATTCTGTCCATTGTATTGCAGTATTCAAACAATAAATGCCGTTTTGGTGCTGTTTAATGTGGAGTGACAGATCGCTGTAGCACCTCAGTTCAACAGACGAGCAAACACTGCATAGATGGAGACACTGGGATGTGTGCTTTGCTGTTTTCTGTAGGCTATATTCCCATCCCTCTGCTGTAAAAAAAAATCATATTAAAACCATAAATATCTCACTTTCCTCTGGCACTTCCAATTAAAGCCATTTTATCTCTCTGAGTCTTGATTTGCTCTGTCTTCCAGAAAATAGACCAAGCATTTTCTTTGGAGACACTTCTTGCTCGCTCCAACTTGAAAGAGACTTTGTGCCATACGTCAACTGTCTCTCCAGATGCTCCATCTGCTGCCCAACACCAGGTGACGTCAGTAGCAGCGAGCACACTGCATCTGCACTGCACATAAAGAGCCGTCTGTGCAGGCGAAGCAGTCATGCAGACTTGGCCCTCGAGTGTCGTCCTTTGGGAGGAAGTTGCTCAATCAGCCACCAGGAAAAAGAAGCACACACAAAGAAAAGGGCTGATAAATGTGTGTTTGTGTGCAAGCATGTCACCCTTTGAAGATGTGACCGCTGCTGATGAAAGCAAAGCTCACAGTTGCAGTTACTATGTATTAGGGCTGGGTAAAAAAATATTGATATCTCAATATTAATCGATTCTCATTTTTACGGAACAATATCGATTCTTAAATCCCAAGAATCGATTAGTATAGCCTGTTTTCAGTTAATTGCTGGTTAATTGCTAAAGGAACATTGAAGGGCACTTCCCATCTAATATATCGCAATAAGCATTGTGCTTAGGTACTTTTAATATGAAACAAAGTCTCAGATTTCAAATTCTGTCCATTGTATTGCAGTATTCAAACAATAAATGCCGTTTTGGTGCTGTTTAATGTGGAGTGACAGATCGCTGTAGCGCCTCAGTTCAACAGATGCGGTAGAACTTCTTTACGAATCTATATCGATTCTTAAATCCCAAGAATCGATTAGTCTAGCCTGTTTTCAGTTAATGGACGGAACATTGAAGGGCACTTCCCATCCAATATTTCGTAATAAGCATTGTGCTTTGGTAATTTTAATATGAAACAAAGTCTCAGATTTCAAATTCTGTCCATTGTATTGCAGTATTCAAACAATAAATGCCGTTTTGGTGCTGTTTAATGTGGAGTGACAGATCGCTGTAGCACCTCAGTTCAACAGACGTGGTAGAACTGATCATCTCCACATTAATACCAGTTTCAACACAAAATAAACATGACTAAACATCCGAAGGCAAGTTAAAAGAAAGAGTACAACTTTACAATCCATATCCTGTCTCATGTAATCGCTCAATCAGTGTTTCAGCCGCGCAAAGACGTCAATATAACGGCTTGTAAACAATGTCACGTAACGTCACATTTACCTCAGAAAAACATATTCAGTGACCATAAACTCATTAGTCAGATAGAAAAATAAACTGTAGAGAGGGCATTTTGCTAAAAATATGCATCAAATAACATATTCATTATAAATTTGACTGTTCTTCAATGTTTAATTTATTTTTGAAAGTTTTTATGACAGCCACCATTATGTTTATATTTAAATAAAAAACGAATTGAAGTAGAAATATTATTATATGATTGTAACTTTATTATTTTAAAAAACTTCATTAAGATTAGTTGAGATTTTTTTTCCTTGAGAAAATTTGGCATGTACAGTACCTGATATATATCCTAAATAATCGATATTGAATCGAATCGCAAGCTTGTGAATGAGAATCGAATCGAATCGAGAAATTTGTGTCAAAACCCAGCCCTACTATGTATTCATTAATTAATTAATTAATGTATTTATTTTTACAAACTGGTGTCCTGAATATAATTGCGTTGTGCAGCAAGGGGAAGAACTCATTTAGTTAGGGAATTGAGAAATTGTTTGTATTCAGAACCAGATTCATTTTTACCATATGTGTGGTTCCATTTACAGTGTACATATACATTCACACATTCATAAGACGTAAACATGACACTATGCATGTGTGCAATGCATTTTTGAATCTGATTGAGAAAGTAGTCAGATTCAACAGTTTACATGGCTAAAATGGTCCTTTTAACCTGATTACAGTTATTTAAGATTTAATCGGATAGTCATTTTATTCAGACTGAGCTCAGATGAGACTGACTGAGGAGTTTAATTTATGGCTTTTCAGCTTTCAGTCCGATTGAGCAATCAAACTGTAAACAGCTACATTTTCATGTTGACATTTAAAACCATTTTCCAGCTCAACTGACACTACTGGGTATTTGATATAAAGGACATCATAACTTCAGAGCTGACAGCCTCAGGGCAACGCTCCGATCCATAGCATGGTTGCTCTCTTGGTGACCTGAGCTTAAGTTCCGGTGTGTGGTCTTGTCCCATTCCACTCTCTCTCCATCCCACATTGCTTCCTGTCTGCTCTCATATAGCATTATCCAAATAAAGAGGAACAATAGCAAAAATAAAATCGTACAAATAAATAAATAAAAATATTCCTGTTTTCTGTCCGGGGGCTCCCCGTCTTATACTTATTTCCTGCAAGTGACACATAATACAATGAAAATTAGAGATGTGATCAACAGTGGCCCAATCAGATGTGGCCCAACAAACACAGGAAGGCAAATGCTGTAAAGTGCATTCTTCATTTCCATCAGCACAGGGCTTTACCACCACTATTAGCTTTAAAAACTCATGTAATCAATCCGTTTATTTACCTTTGCTCTTACATTTGTCTAATTATATCTGGTTATTCAGTCGTTTCATACGTCTGCCCATGCAGCATCAATACACCATACTTTCAAGAAGGTGTTTTATCTTGAGTAATTAACTGAGTGAGTTTAATGTCATTAACTAAAGCAGTCCTGAAACACAAAATAAGAGAGCAACTCCGTGAAGGCTGCAGAAATACAGGCTGTCAGTATATCAGGAAGTGTTGTGTGTGCTTCACACGAGTGCCCTCAAGTGGTGACAGAACTTGCAGCACACTGAGACCAGCAGAAAATCCATCTAGGACAGTGAATTTACTGTATTAAATCTAAACATTTTCCTCGCCAAGAAAAGAGTTATTTTAAATCTAAATGATCACTTGCAAACAATATTTGGTATACTAGGGAATAGGAAGAAATATACCAGAAAGAAAGTATTAAACATGCACAAAAAAAAAACATTGCATATATGAAGTAATAATAATAATATTAATAAATCAGCAATGGTAATATACCAAAGTTCAAAATTATGCTCAAAACAGGTACAGTACATTGGCTGAAATGAGATGCAATAGATCAGATCAAAACTGGTCTAGAGAATACAAGAAACAAAAAAATAAGCTTCCAATTATTTATATTTTAATAATCCTAAAACATTACAGATCAGATCATGAATGTTTAGGACAGCACCAGTCACTTCCACACGCCAAAACACATCACCTACCATCGCACAGCACACACCTATTACAAATAAAGATTACATGCACAAACACACACAACCCCACAAACATCATATGACAAGCTCAGCGCACTTTACCCACAGATGACAAACAATGAATAGGTCCTACACACATCCTAATATATTAACAGCAAAGAGATGGTCACCTCATCATCATTACCCTGCTGAACTGCTAGTTTTACAACACCACATACAGTATCAACCAGGCTTCTGTTGCCCTTTTTAAAACAGGATGCAAAAATTTTCACTTACCATCATTACACAAATGTCCTCCGTGTGTGGTCATGCTGCAGTCGCAAGTGAAGCCTTCCCACTGCTGAATACAAACCCCCTGATTGGCACACGAATCCTTCTGACAGGTAGTGCTGGGCCCTGCAGAAACAGCATTATCATGAGCATCATGAGAGACACAAAGACATCAGGCACGAGAGCCGAGTTATAACTACAGTACACACTGTGTCATATGTTTTACTACAGTAACACTGCGTTATTATTGTACTCATTCATGTAGGGGACACTCACACCACAAGGACTCCTCACAAGCCTATGAGCCAATGAATTACTGAAATTAACTTTTCCACAACATTCTAATTTATTGAGATGCACCTGTATACAGCACGTAAAAGTTTACTCAGATTAAATAAATAAAATCATTAATTAATTATAAAAATAAATAAATGCAGTCAATGTATCACACAAACTCAAAAGTTCTGTGCATAGCTGACATGTTGATTGTCATGACAACGACAAAGATTATGACAGATGCTACATTTAATTTTTTTTTTTTTTTTTTGCATTTGGTGCATGACGTCTGGAATCATGACACTTTGATCTAGTCTTATACTTATGATTTAATTAACAACAGACTTAATGCATCTATCTTTTAAATTATATATTTCCAAGGGTTATCTTTGACAGCCCTTGTTTTTATTTAATAAAAAAACAAAAACAAAGAGAATATGTAAATGTAAAAAAAATTGAATTAAGTGTAAACATGTACAGAAGAGGGACAACACAATAGGAATGAACTGTATGTCTAACAGAGAGCAAAAGTGAGAATTTTAATGCAAACTATCTGCTAATCATGATTATACAAGTAATTGTTTTTCCAATGCAATTTTAGGGAAAATTAAAGCTATGTTGCTGTTGCCGTTGTTAATGTGCAGCCAAAACCTGGAACAAAATATACTTACACCTGCAGACTTGAAAAGTAGATCCGGCCTAGTGCATTTTAATGATATAAGGCTTTTCCCTAAAATGGACATTTTAAAGCTTTAGGTTGTCACAGCGGATATTATGGTTTTATCAAAAACTTGGTAAAAGTGGTGGAGTTAAAATTTATATTAAATCAAAATTTTGTAGCTCTATGTCATGATCTGCAGTTAAAGCCAGTTTGAGCTGCTTGCTGTTACGGTGAATGTGTATAATAATAATAAGCGATTCACTTCACTGTTGTTGGCTGTTATACCATCAGCTGCAACATAAGCCTTTTCCTCTCTTTTGGATGCTTTACACATTGTAAGTGAATCGGAATTCATATTTACATTTAATCATTTAGCATGGCACTATAATGCAGCTGCAACATAAGCCTTTTCCTCTCTTTTGGATGCTTTACACATTGTAAGTGAATCGGAATTCATATTTACATTTACATTTAATCATTTAGCATGGCACTATAATGCACCATTCATTTGCAGAATGCAAGCTTCTGGAGGGCACATAAGTAGTGAATTTAGGTAAAAAGGTGCAGAGCCAGTGGTTGTTTTGTAGGCAAACATCAATGCCTTGAATTTAATTTTTAAGGGCAATTTTAATTGGGATTGCTTTTCAATTAGGAAACTGTTTGATTATTTAAACCTCATGCAATTTATTAACACCCCTACTAAAACATCTAAATAAATCAACATTACTGGAACTCATTCTTACAAATGCACCCCACAGATATACACAGACTGCAGGATTCTGTGATGATGATAGTGATCATTGTGCCATTGCCTGTGAAAGAAATGTAAAATTCAAAATTTGTTATGTTTAAAAAAAAAAAAAAACTGTAAAAGATCTGATGAACAAGCACTTTTACCTGAACTGTATAATAGAGATGTTGACAGAGTTTTAAATAATTTTGTAATAATAAATGTTTCAGTTAGCCTTTTATATCAGCAGGGTCTTTACTTGATACATATGTAGCAGGGTCCGCAAGCTCTAACTTTATAACTTTACAATTTCCTTATAAGGTACCTACTTATCCAGGGAACCCTTTGTATCTTTTAACGCATGTTGCTTATTTTATTGCAGAGAAAAAAAAACTGAGTCTCCAAACTAATACCATTCCTAAATTCTGGAAAACAGCTAATTTTCTCACTGTACTGAAAGGTGGGGACCCTTTGGATTTAAATAATTTTCAACCCATATCTAAATTTAATTCTCCTGCCAAGATTTTTGAATCAAGCAAATCTCTCAAGGAATCCAAGTGTGCAAACGTATGTTAGAGATGACATTGAAGGAATCCTGAGATTCAACTGGATGCAACTGGGACCAGCCAGAGCAGTATAGGGGGAAATGGCAGTGCTGAAATGTGCAGACATTGTGGGACATGTCCAGCAAGAATTGGAGGATGGGCTTGTAACAGCTGGAATATGGCCATAGAAGGAAGATGGTGGTGGAGGAAATACATTGTCAGGAAGACTCTGATTGGTGGGCCAAGGCAGACACCCTTGGCAAGCAGGGGCAATGGACAAAGTGGATACGCTAAAGGGGTACCCTGAGCGTCAAAAGTGACGTCAAGCGATCCTGACCAAACATCAATATGCGTCGAGTTGGGAGTGAGAACATCCTGCATAACTAAGTTCTTAAGAGCCATGGCTCCATCCTGGAAAGTAAACAACCTGCTGCAAATTCTCTTCTACCACAAGTAAACCCTGTACAGGCAATTGCTTTGATCATATAGTGGGACAAGACTACCAGGAACATCTCCCCACCACCAGAGTGAGGCCAGATCTACTTAGTCTTTGTCAAGTCAAGTCAGCTTTATTTGTGTAGTGCTTTATACAATACTGATTGTCAAAGCAGCTTTACAGAGTCAAACAGGAAAATAGTTTGTCAATAATGCAAGAAGACAATAACAAAGAGTAATTTTTCCAGCTAAAGTCAGTTCATTGATGATTCAGTGATGTCATCATCCAGTTTAGCTCTCTTCCAATAGTGTCTGTGCAATCAGTCAAGTGTCCCCAACTAAGCAAGCCAAAGGCGACAGTGGCAAGGAACCAAAACTCCATCGGTAACAGAAAAAACCTTGAGAGAAACCAGGCTCAGTGGGGGGGCTAGCTCTCTTCTGGCCAGACGAAACCAGACTGAACTTTGAACTGAAAACTTTGACTGGAAAATGCTGGTTGACATTGGCCAACAGCTGGTATTTCCTTCAGAAATTGTTGATACCACCTTAAGGCCTAACTTTTAAGATGGTGCCGATGTGTGTGGCTGGCCGTCTGCTCTGTGTGTTGTTTGTCTAAGCTCTTTTCTGACTCAGATACACTTGTGGTGTATGACGGGCAACTGCTCCTTAATTTAAGGTGTGGATTATAAGTTTTATCTAACACCGCTCAGAGGGGAACCTATTTTAATCGTCCACCTCCACCTGTACTGGTGTCTATTCCCACCTGCTTGCGTCGCACGCCATGGGATTTTCCTCAAAGGAAATGCTGCAGATGGAGAGGAAAGTGGGGAGGAATTGCAGTTAAGCTAACATTACATCTAACGCGTTTGTCTGCGCATTGTCATTTTACGGCTTTCGCAGATTATGAGCCAGTCAGTGGTCGCCTCGTCTTGTGGCGATTCCTGGAGTCTATTCAGCAATATGTTCGGCCTGTGATACCGAATATTCTTCAAGTCCCTCCATGGTGTTGGTCGTCCCTGGTTCGCTTTCATCGAGGAGGAATAAATCACAGAAATCTTCATCCTTTAAATCGTGCAGCTCAGTCGGTTGGAGAATCAGTACAAATTAATACACTAATCGCATTTCTACAATTCAAATCCATTAAATTAGGCTGCATTAATTAGGTCAACCGGAACCGGGAACACTTCCCATAACACCCGATGTACTCGCTACATCATAAGAAGAATGGCATCTACGCTAATATTAGTCTCTTTTATTCTTATTCCGAGGTCACCATAGCATAAGGATCCAGTCTGTATCCAGATCAGACCTAGAGATGACCTCTACAGCCCTGAATGTCAGCGGAGACCATGTCAACTAGATGCACCCCAGAGACAGATCCCTGCGAAGACCTCATCACCTCGAAGACCATCGGCACAAGACCACAGGACCCAGACAAGTTCTCTGCACCTGAGATGCAGCCTGGAATTAAACCACGCCATGCTGGTTTCGTCTGGCAAGAGGAGAACTGGCCCCCTGACTAAGCCTGGTTTCTCCCAAAGTTTTTTCTCCATTTATGTCACCGATGGAGTTTTGATTCCTTGCCACTGTCACCTTTGGCTTGCTTACTCTTATTGACTCTTTTGACTTAGTCCAAAATATTAACTAATTCATTAACTAACTATCAAAGAGCTGTGAAGCATGCTAACTCAAAGTATTTTTCTTACATCATAGAAATTATCAAAGACCCAAGATTTTGTTCTCCACAATTACCTCTGTTATACATCCCTCTTTTGACCTGCAGTTTGATGACCCAGCTACTGCTTGTGAATGCTTTTTAAGGTACTTTATAAACAAGATACGTGACATTAGAGAGCTTATTGTCCCCATAAACTATGATCCCTCCTCTCTGTACCTCATCTTTTAATGCCTTTGAAACTATCTTCATAGACTTTCTTCATGAACTTGTTATGAAGTTAAAACTAACCACATCTGTAACGGATATTATTCCAGCGTGCCTACTTATTCAGGTATTTGATGTCATTGGGCCCTGTATCCTATCAATAATAAATAAGAGCCTTTGTGTAGGATTTGTTCCAGAATATTTAAAGCATGCTACTGTTAAACCTCTAAAATATAACCTTGATGCAACAGTTCTCTCGAATTTTAGGCCAATTTCTAATCTTCCTTTTATTTCTAAAACCCTTGAGAAGGTAAGTTTCTGTCCAATTATTAATTTTTTAAAAATTCAAATGGAGTCTTTGAAATCATTCAGTCAGGTTTTAGGAAGCATCACAGCACAGAATCTGCTCTTTTAAGAGTTCAAATTATATTTTATTATATGTTGATTCTGGGAACTTCTGCTTTTGGATTTGAGTGCGGCCTTTGATATGGTCGATCATGATCATATTATTTCTCATCTTGAATGTTGTGCGGGTATTAAAGGTCATGCACTGAACTGGTTCAAATTCAAACCTATTTGAACAATATAACTTTTTCTGTTTATATAAATGGATGTCTTATTCTCTCTGCAGTGGCTGCCGGCATGTTTTAAAATAGAGTTTAAGATTTTACGCTTCGTTTTTAAGGTCTTAAATGGGCTGGAACATTCTTATTTATCTGAACTTGTGACTGTTAACATATCTGCTAGATGATTAATGTCATCAAATCAGAAATTGTTAAAGGTTCCTAGATCACTGTTAAAAAGAAAGGTAGACCAGGCTTTTTCCATAGCTGGCACCAAATTATGAAACCGCCTACCTTTATCTATTAGGATAATCACTACAGATTCTCTGTTTAAAGTAAAGCCCCAACTTTTAGAAAAGGCTTATAATATTTAAGTTGTCCTGAGCTTGTTTTTCCTCTGTATGTATGATGTCATTGTGTGTAGTTTTATTATTTTGATTTCACAATTTTTGTACAGCACAATGGTTAACAACTGTGCCATTGCCATTTAAGCTTTGTCGACAAGTAGTGTGAATCACTACTGTGCATACTCGTGTTCCAAATCAATCACTGCTGCACAGACTCAGGCTCCAAATGAATCACTGCTGCGCAGACTCGGGCTCCAAATGAATCACTACTGCGCAGATTTGGGTTCCAAATGAATCACTACTGCACAGACTCGGGCTCCAAATGAATCACTACTGCGCAGATTTGGGTTCCAAATGAATCACTACTGCGCAGATTTGGGTTCCAAATGAATCACTACTGCACAGACTCGGGCTCCAAATGAATCACTACTGCGCAGACTCAGGCTCCAAATGAATCACTACTGCGCAGACTCAGGCTCCAAATGAATCACTACTGCGCAGATTTGGGTTCCAAATGAATCACT